CTGGCCGGCCAGCAGGCAGGCACTGGCAGTAGCCCAGCGGGCCAGTGCCCAGCTCCCCTCCGGGTCTGGGGGCAGCAGCGCCGTGCAATGCCCCAGCAGCAGGTCCCACACCGCGATGGCTCCTGACGTCAGCACAGCTGCGGCTGAAGCATCCTTCACGTCACCCTCCAGGTACCTAAGGTCGTATACAGAAGGGTCACAGTGCTGCAGTTTGCTTGTCAAAACACTATCACATCATTTTTTTAAATTAGCTAGTTTTTAACATAGAAAATTAATAAGCGAATTTAAGCCAACTGTAGGACACCAGGTTGTGTCACATGTTGTATCTTCAGCGCACCTGAGAACAAAGGATGTCAAGGCAATCCTTCCGCAGCCTCAGCACGTACTTGAAAATTGCTCCGTAAACTGAGATCTCAATCCGCTAATATTTGTGCGCATCCGTCACACCGTTTCCTACGTAAGCACACTGCAAGACTGAGCCTTAAACAGCTTAGTCCTCAAAATGCAAAGACGTAGGAAGGAAAAGGTCATCTGACTGCAAACAGCTGCTTTCACATAAATAAACCCAGCAAAATGCTCCTTAACAGCACAAAGGCTCAGAACGTCTCATTTGCAGAGGTTTTCCCCGGGGGTTTTGCCCAGGGAGTTTGCACGATGAACCCAGTTCCAGCATTTCCACAATGGCTTTGTGCAGGGGTGGGGGAAGAAAGACAAAAAGCGTAGAGCAGGCAGAAAACCAGCGCTGCCGTCCGTGAGCGGAGCCCCTGCCCGCGCGGTGACACTGGGAGCTCAGAGGTCAGCGCGCAGCCTGGCGCGGGAAGCGGGCAGGAAACAGCCAACACCCTCGCCCCATTCCAGGGGCTTCTGTCCCACATACAAGGACAAACGGCAGCGGCGGATGCAGCCTCCTTATCATCGGCAAGATGGCAAATGGATCCTTGCCAGCAATGCTGCTCAGCTCATTAAGTGATTCTCCCCCCAAAACCACCTCGAAGGAGGGATGCAGCCAGCACCGCAGAGTCCCCCAGGTACTTGCCTTCCAGCGTGCCCAGGTGGGAGGGAGGAGAACATCACTCCTGTGCTCCTGGCTGTTTTGGGGTTGAACGCTACCACGCGGAACGCGGGGTTTCCACAGGTCTCGCTCTCTTTGGCGTGTGGATGACTTAAAACAACAAACAGAAGGCCCTGATACACAGAGGAAAAATACATCACTAAAAACAACAGCAAGAGGGGAAAAAAACTCAAAGAATTTTCCAAAAATTAATTGCTACATTCGTCTATAATCAAAGTCCCATGGACAGTGATGCATTATTTTTACTGAATAAAACAGAAACGGTTTACTTTCCTTATCAAATTAGATAAAACCCAAAGCAGCTGCTGACTGATAAGGGCTGATGCAATGCAGGAGAATGACAGCTCAGTGACCCAATGGATTTACGCACTTATCTTTCTGAAAAAGCTAAACTTGCTGTCAGATGAGGTGACATTTAAAGTAAAATTTCTGGGCCTTATTTTAATCCCCAGAAGCTTAAAATTTAACAAGAATTCCATGCAAACCAGCACAGCTGAAAACAGTGGCTCTCAGAACAGCCACAGGTCAGCATGAAATATGCTGGGATAGATATTCTGAGGAAGACTCCCAAGATTCTGACTCAAGCCACCATTATTGAGCAAGACATTCTTGGCCCAAAAGGTTAAAGGCTCACTGAGAACAATTTTATTTTTTTTAATAAACTACAAAAATCCATCTGGAAACACAGCACAGGTGGAAGCAAGTGGGAAAGAATCATTAGTATGAATCTTGTTTTTAAACAGTCAATATCCTCGGGGATACATGTCAATAACAACCACTTCACCACCGGTTTTCCGTCACCATGCTGGCAGCTACTCAGCAGGCAGTGAAACGGAAGAGACTTACCAAGCACCAGCACTGGGCAACAGCACTTCTGCTTCCCACGTGCAAGATGCTGCTGCTGCTTTGGAATACACTTGATGCATCACACTCATTTTATCAGTACACGGCAGAAAGCCAAGAATTCAAGCTAGCCTATGTGGCTTATTTCTCCTAGTTAACCTATTTACCTTTGAAATATCTTCAGTGTATCTAAGAGCTGATATTTCAATCCACTCTGGAAACCCTAATCCTTAAAGTTCCCACCACAGTTAGTCAGTGCAGTCCGTGCATAAACTGCGTGTCATGTCTCACATACGTACAGAGTCGGAATATGCTCGATGGCAGATGGAAGCCGGGTAGGAATAACCAACGTGCATCTTCTTCAGGAGCTGGCCTGTTTTCAAATTCCTGCAGTTGGTGAAAATACAAGTTCTGACTGCATTTCCATCTTCTACCTATTATTTTTTAATCATATTTACACCGCTGTGCAAGATGGGACACATTTTTGGTTTCACATAAACCAAACTAAGAGGCCACAGGAAGAGATGTAATGAATACGATGCAAGAGCAAGTGGAATTATAGCAGCATAATTCATTCACTATCTATCCGACTGTATAGAATTTAAAGTGCCAGACTGCAGGCCCTTCACAGGCAAATCAGCAGCCAACCAACGCCCCTATATAACGTACCATCACATACACCTGCAAGCTAAACCATTTAATTGCAGAGGAAACACTGACCAAACAACAATGCTGTTCACTGCAGTGGTGCCAACCAAGGCGTCTCTCATTCCTTCTACTTCAGCAAAAGCTAAAACAGTTTCTTCGGGGGGCATCAAAGTCTGTCCATCCTTGCTCCTGAATAGCAGATTTGCAAGTGAGAAAAGGCAGTCAAAATAATAAGTATGTGTTCTGTACCCAGCACATCTTCAGAAAGAAGAGGAACCTGACACTTTTCTACATCAGAGATGTTTCCTTACTTTTCTTCCACCCGCCACACTGAGATCCCACAAAACCAGCAGACTCACCTTCCTGTCTCCGAAAATGATACTATTTCCACTTGCTGCTCTTGCACGGTCCTGCTGCTGCTGACCAGCCTCCTATCCTTGAGCCCAAGAACAGCTTTTATATTTCCAGTCTTTACTAGTGATTGCTTGAATGAGTCATTCTCAGAGGAGTACAGCAAGAGCCTAAATTAAGAGAAAAGTACACATAATGACAGAAGGAACCATAATTCAACCATGCAATAGCGTATAAAAATAAGCATATGTTTAAACAGTCTACCACCTCTAGGGATGAATAAGCAAGTCTTTACAGTTGATTTTTAGAAATCTCTTCCATATTTTCCAACTGTTAAAGCAACTGAGAAAGTGACACATTAGTAAGAGATAATTTCAACCACTACACAAGAGGAGAGTTAAGCTGCAGCTATTCAGGGTGCAAACTGCTAGTAAGAAATAAATACACCACCTTATTTCTCCAATCTCCAAATCTCCCAATGCTATGCACACAAGATTGCAGGTGTCTGGCAGAGGAACTATCTGTATTACGGGAATCTAGGACAGCAAAACAAGAATTCAGTGTCACCCACAATTGCCCCTTTGACTTTATTGCCATTTTCTAGAGTGTTTCAAGTAAAACGATATAGAGCGGAACTAATTTTCTGAAGAAGCGCACTTAAGATTAACAGCTGAACTCTCTGCTGACTGCTTACCTAATTAAACAATCCCTGTTGATATAAGAGACAAAAAACATCTCCAGGGAGC